GACAATATAATAATATAGAAGGGTAAAAGGTAAAGTTTGAAGAGTTCAAGTGTAAAAGTCATGGTGTATAAGACTGATTTGTTTTCTATGGCTTATCAACCCATTGCAGGTTATTTAAAGCCAGAAAATAATTTTACATTGTAAGAAATTTTTTTTTGAGATAATGGTTTAGTGATACATGCCTAATTAACCCATAGCTGGGGGAGAAAAAGTAGATTCATATCTTTCCCAAGGGTATTTGAGCATAAAATATAACGAACCCAACAGGAACTGGAACTCTGCTCTCCCATTAACAATTCTAAGCCATTATCCATTACACCACCCACACATCTGAGCTTACAGCACCTTGTATACCCTAGCAGTTGCCCATCTTGATACTGATCAAGCTTGATGTTGCTTAACTTTGGTGATGGTATAAGAACCATTGTTTCAATGTGATGTGACTGTAAGCTCTGGCACATAAGAGAGTTAGGGAAAGAGTTTGGAAGGAAGTAAATATATATATGTATGTATGTATCCAAATGTAGTAGCTGCCACTTGACCACATGGTGAAAGAAGGTATGTTCGTTTTCAATGTAAGAGGGACAGTGTAACCGTTTCATGTTGCCAGCTCGTCATGCAACTGTTCTATTTCAGCCCCGGTGTGTCACAATGACTGCAATATTGGAGAATGGACAAAGTTTATTTATCAACTCCAATTTTCCATCTGTTTTTATACACATCTATAGATCCATTTTGAAAAGGCTGCTTGCTTATATCCTGTTTGTGAAAGATTTCTGATTGGTTGGTTGGTTGGTTGATTGAACTATTTTTAGAAATAGAGAAATTTTGCCCTCCTTAGTGTTTATTTCTTTTCATACATCCTGGTTGCGAAAGTTTGATTGGTTGGTCAAACTATGGCTTTGTTTGCCTGGTAATTTTTATTATCAGTCTATTTTTAGGAATGGTAAAATTTTGGTCTTCTTGCCATTTATCTTTATTCATATTTATTTATTTCTTTATCATCACAATGCTACATCAGATTAAATTTGCCAGAAGACAATTATCCAATATGCTCTCAGGATTTTGATTTGGTAATCCTGCTTCTATATTTAGTAGCAGAATTTCAGCAATTTTATATTCTCTAATGATACCTCTGTATTTTCAAATAAATCCAGAAAATCAGGTGGTCATTCTAATAGCTCATCATCATGATAGTAAAAGTTTTGCTTTAACACAGCATAATGGCAAAGAACCACATGAAAATGGTGCCAGTTCCAATCTGAAGTAACAGAATCATTCTGCCCAACAAATCTCGATAATATTATGAAAAAAAAGGAGATTGCAGTCACTATATAAAGTTATAAAGACACTAAAGATGAGGATACTAATTCAAATAGTGAGAAAAATAATAAAAAATTAAAAAGAATCTCTTATCTTCAGACAGTATTAGTAAAATCAACAAATATTGGCCAAACAATATTCATTTGAATAACATGTAGAAAAATAAATACAATAATAGCAGTTAATAATAATCCAAGCAATCCTGAAATCTGCAAAAAGATGACTTTTTCCTTATTTATCTACAAAGGAAACAAAAACACACTTGAAAGACTCAAAGATCCCAGAGAAATAATTCCAAGGTGAGAAATAGAATGACAACTTTTTAAAAATTCATCAAATAATTTCATGTATAAATGTCATGTGAACAAGATCCACTGATTGTAATTTATGTTTTGAAAAAAGGGGGGGAAAATCTAATTAGAATCTAGATCTGAAGTGATAAATTTGTAACTTTAAGCCAGTGTAAATAACTCTGATCATATCAACTTGCAATTAAAATCAACAGTAAAAAAATTATGCAATATAATTGGCAGTCATTTTCTTCAGATTTACTTCATGAAAAGAAATTCATAAAAATAATCAGAGACTTCATAAAAAAATCTAAATAAAGGGGCTAAATTCAATTATAAATCAGTAATCTCTAATTGCATGCACTCACTAATTGCCTCCAATGAACAATGTATTTGCATACATGTTTGTTTAGCCATGTTGAAATAAGCATCTGCTTTTTGCAGTGAGAGTAATTATATTAATAAAGAGACAGGAAGATAGGAATAAAATTGAATGAAAGAGAAGAAGAAAGGAATAAGTAATTTGAAAGGAGGGAGAAAGAAAAAAAAAGTGAAAAGGGACAGAAAAAAGAAAGCAAATATTGTTAGTCAGAATATATAGAAAAGACTAAACCAAGATTAAGGTTGTTGGACAGAGACAAAATTTGTGATCAAATGGTCTGTTGCTTCTTGTTAAAAATATAATCAATGGGAGTAATGATGCAAGAAAAATCAGTCACAGATGCACTTGTCATTTGGAGTTAGAAGTTGTAGCAGTAACACTGATTTGTAGGTCAACTTTCACTCCTTGATGAAAGACAGAAAATCTTCTGCCTTGGCAGTCATCAGGACATTTCTTAAAGTCTTTGATTAATACCAAAATGTCACAGGTTATTTTGGAAGAGATAACTTTATTGCTACAAAAGTGACCAATATTTACATCAAACATTTCATTTGCTGGCGGCAAGACTGAAGCAAAATTATTTTATTCATTTTTTGGCAGGATAGAAACTAACAAATATAATAACTTGGAATGTAGGAGAATGTGTGTTATTAATTTTTTTCATTTTAATTTCAGTTACTTTTTCATTCTAACTAATCAGATTCTCATTTTATGGCTATGAAGAAATAAAGAGTGGAGAAAAAATAGCTTTTAGTAAGGTTTGAAATCTAATGTTTTTTTTCTTGGGAAATTACTCAACCAATTGAGTTACAAAAGTCAATTGTTGCAGAAGTTCAAACCAAACATTTAACTTTTAATATTAGATAAGTTGACACTTAGGTTAAAACTGAGTGGTGACAGTCTGTTTCATGTTTGAACGCAATGTTCAGGCCATGAAGATTGAATTCAGTCATGAAACAGACTGTTGCCATTCAACATTGATATCGATGTCTGGTCTTGTATTTGCATATGCTCTATTAGGGATAGAGCGTATACATACATAGAGCATATATACACTTTTACCCATAAATATAGCATATCTGAAAACTACATTTTTATCATTATATATATTTTGTGAATTCTTGGATAGAACCATATTTAAGCTGGTAGATAAAGTCTATACTGAAAATCAGTGCGAGTTACATTCTGGACAGGGTACAATAGAAATGATTTCTTTATGCCAAGTTGCTGAAAAAGAGTATGGAAAGAATGAGGAACTCTATATGATTTTTGTGGCTATGACTAAAAGCCTTTGACAATCAACAATGACATTCTCAATAAAATGTTCTTTTCATCAGTGTGTGTGTGTAAACATTTGGTATTTCATATAAAGTTGTAGAAAGGAAAATGTGATCATGCAATCTGTTGAATTGGCTACTAAATGATGGAAGGAAGTAACTATTTTCAAAAATAAAAGAAAAGGAAATGCACTAACAATATAACAGCCACCACCTCACAACTTACTTTCATATCTGGATATAAGGCAAACAAATTCTGTCTGTCTTCTTGCCTGGCTTTTGCTAACGATGTATCCGTTTCTCGAGAATACTGAAAGATAAAAATGCGAGTTAAAATGATTAAAAATAAAACATGAATTAAAAAAAAAATATCAGCAAAAATCTCATTTTTGACAATTTATCTTTGTTTAGATGTTTCTGATAATTGTGACCCATGTCCATAAAGAGCATTGTACAATGGCACAGACTACCATCCTTCATAAGACACCATCTGGGTAGCTAGGGAAAAAAAAAATCATTCCAAAATAAAAGGCCTTTTTTTAATTTGTGTATTGAGAAAAAAATTTCATTTTTGTCAAAATTATTTTTCATTCATTATTTTTAATTTTTAAACTTGATTCCCAATCAATGTCTGATTGGAAACTGGAATCAGTTGAATTAGAAAGTTGTACAATGTGAAGGTAAGTGAAATCTTGTTAAGCAGATTTTAATCAACAAAATATGAGCACGGAAAGTAATTATTCCCAGTTGTAAATATGAATATGATTTTATTCATGTCATTAAGATCTAGACATACACAACAGATAACTCAGCTTTACTCTTTGTCATGGTGGTTTATTTTAAATTTGAAAATCTGATTATATGGAAATTACATTTAAAACATTTTATTTGAAACATTGTCAAGTATATTGTGTTCTTCACATTTGGACAGGCAGATTTTCCTTCCAATCTGAATTCTCATATAATTCTTGCCAATCATGACTAAGCCATGAATATTTTTTTTTTAAATACCACTTATCAAATACATTTCTATAAATGCAATGTGGTAAGTGCTTCTTAATTTAACATCAATTCTTTATCTGTAATGATTATGCAATGAATATCAATTATTTAAAATGTGACTTTTTTTGTTTGATTGATGTGTTTTCTATGGTTTATCAACCCTTTGCAGGTTATTTAAAGGCAGAAAATATTTTTTAGATTGTAAGAAATCTTTTTTTGTGGGGAGATAATGAGTTAGTGATGCACATCTTACTAATTAACTTATAGCTGGGGGAGAAATGGATTCATACCTTTACCAAGGGTATTTGTGTGTAAGTGAATATAATGAACCCAACCAAAATTGGAACTCTGCTCTCCAATTAACAATTCCAAGCCATTATTCATTACACCACCTATACACCCAAGTTTATATAATGTGGTATTCCCAAGCAGTCCCCCATCTAGGCACTGACCAGGCTTGACATTGCTTAACTTTGGTGATTGTACAGGAAACAGTTTCAATGTGATATGGCCATAAGCCTATATAATTTGTGAATGATACTGAACAAAATGGAGAATGATTACCAATTAGAAAAAGTCAATGTAAAGAACTTTCTTAAGGAGAATATTCCTTTGACATTTCTTGAATCCTTATTGGGTGAATTATTTTCATTAATGTCCACATTTTAAATGTTTTGATTAGGTCTCAGCTTATGAGTAAAAACAATGAAGACATTATGGTTTTCCAGCTTTCCTCAGATACTTATTACATGGGGTCATAAAATATTTTTCTTTCTTTCTCAAACAGTTTATTTTTCAGTAAACTTCAAATACAAACTTGAATCCTATCAGTGAATGAAAAAGAGGAGGAGGAGAAGCCAGAAAGGAACAAAACCAGGTTTCACCTCTTGCAAGTGGAGAACAGGGCAGACTGAGACAAGAAGGGGGGCAGAGCAGACTGAGACAAGAGGGGGGGGGAGCAGAGCAGACTGAGACAAGAGGGGGGGGAGCAGAGCAGACTGAGACAAGAGGGGGGGGGCAGAGCAGACTGAGGCAAGAGGGGGGGCAGAGCAGACTGAGGCAAGAGGGGGGGAGCAGAGCAGACTGAGACAAGAGGGGGGGACAGAGTAGGGCAATGAAGAGAAAGAAGTGGTGTTGTTACATTGGACTACATATATAGTAATTTGGGTCCTGTCTCATTTTCAAATTTCACTACTTACAACTTTACTGATAACTTCAAACAATTCAATTCAAAATGTATAAAGTAATAAAAGCTTTATTCTTAACCTGCATCGTTAAAAAGAAAAAGGCAAAATAAATTATACTACTTTAATTAAAAATTTTCTTGTTCATCTTATGATTTTCAGCCATTTGCTGTGGAGAGGAAGACTAACAAAATGAAGAGAGAGAAAGCAAGACAGAAAATAAAATGTTCCATGATGAGAAAGTTATTTTATTTCCTGTAAAAACTACCAAAATTTCTACAAATCCATATCATCATCAGTATTAAGTCGCATTTATTTTTCCTTCAATCAACCAAGGTACAAGACGGCAGAATCAAGTGGCCACAAGAGGACTTTCTAGTCATTTATTCAAATGAGAACTTAGCAGAAAACTAATCAATTTCGGCTGCAACAATTTTGCATTGTCTATTGATATCATGTGGGCTTCTGTTTTGTTTGCTTCAATCAATTGCTACTCAAGATTTTGAACAAGATAGCAAGAAGGTTAGAGCATTGGACTGGAGGTTATGAAAAAGGAATTTTTTGTCCTTCCTCCCAAAGTGAATTAAACTGATAATTCATGTCTGAAAGAGAAGTACTAATTCAGAGCGAAAACAACATCTTCCAGGACTTTGGAGCCAGCTTTGTTTTTGTAAAGTTCAGGGTAAAATATATTTTATGATAATCTATAAAAAAAAAAAAAAAAAAAAGCATTGACTCCTGCATCAATACAAAATTGTACTAAAACTAATTAAAACCCAATTTTGAGGAGATTTTGGATTTTCCAGCAACACTTCCATTGTATACAAAGTGATCATCTCTAACAGCTTCACTAAGTTGCTAATAAGAATCATCTATAAATCTGAAATCTTAAGTATTTTGGAACTGTATGTTTTCATATGATGGTAACTTTTAAATTAAACAAAAAAAATATTTTCTTTAATTTTCAAAAGAATAATTATTACTACCAGACAATTGTGTTCTATTTTGTATTATCAGCCCAAAGCAAACACAATGAACTCAGCTGTTTTAACAATGCTTAAAAGAGAAAAAAATTCTTCTTAAAAATTAAACATTTAACTTTCAGCAACTCTGAAAAATAGGGAATTAAAAAAAAAAATACCCACATAAGTTCTATAATTATTTTAGTCTTTTTATTTAAATAGAGCAGATGTTGGAAATTTGACAAGCACCACATGACAACATTAAAGAGTTAAGATAAAAGCCATGCATCTTTTTAAGATGATCTCTTGAAGACAGAGTTTTAAAACTGAGCTCAATATTATGTTATTTCAAATAAGCTAATGAAATCAGCAATCTCATTACAAAACATTGCATTCCAACCAAATTCATTGCTTCACTTATAGGCATAGAAACCAGGAAATTACAAGAAATTTTAATCAATGTGACTTCTAAATATTCTGATGCATTTAGCTAATGGCAATATATTCGAAGTCAGTGGTCATCCTGTGTTTATTTTAGGCACAATAACTGGCAGAAAGAGTCAGGAAAAGCAAATGCAAATAATGTCTAGAATTATTTTATTAGAATTGATTATTCAGTCGATCTTCAAGTTTGCTTAATTTTTCTTTTTGGTTTTTCTTTTAGATAAACATCACCGTGATAACCTGAAGGAAAGACGGATATTATCTGCGACTATAATTGTTAACTCTTTAAGTAATCAGGAAGAATATAGAAAAATACATGAAGCTCAGTTTCTGTATAAACTTGTTGGAGAATATCAATTCTTCTGAAAGTCTGCTATGAGACTTAGAAACAGGAATGTCCAATCAGAAAACATGAAATGCAAATATATAGGCTGGATAGTCAGATTAGCCAATCCTCTAATAGAAAAGTTGTATATGACCAATGTAAAAGTAGTGTGTGTGGGTGTTTAGTTTTTGGAGAGAGCAATTGTGTGGAGAGCAACAATGTACAAGAATGGGGTACCTCATTGTAAAAGACAGGAAAAAGTGGAGAATCAATATTTTGCTCGTATCATAAAGGGTCATTAGTCTGATAAAGAACCAAGAGACAATTACTTAAAAATTTATTAAATATTTAATGAATCAGAAAATGTTTGGGAGTTTCTCATAATATTTCTCCATGTAAAACTTAATTATTTGACATTCTTTTGCCTTTTTCCACCTAAGATATAATGAAAAATACAGAAAAGAACAGGATTACCAACATTTTAAATTGTCATCCCAAAAAAGAATTTTTGTTTTTTATGTTTCATATTGAATTTTCTTATCAGAAAAACATGCAAAAATATTTGTTAGTTTATCCTTTCATATAATTTTTTTGTTTTTTTAACATTTCATCCAAAGCAAGGCAATAAAGCCACTAAGACTCAATGGGTTATTGAGTGTGAAAGAATATGAGAAAAAGAAATGTTATTAAGGAGAGGCAATAATAAATGAAAAGGAATTAAGACAAAATGATTGATATTGCATTTAAATTTTTGAAGATCAAAGTTGATTGGAAAGCAAGAAATGTGAGAGAAGAAACTTTCAGAATAAAATTACAGTTACATGTCTCACCATTTCAATTGTAAGATGAGACTTTGCCGCCAATCTTGTACCGCACTTAAATTCATAAAGTTTAGGTAACAAAGTGGAAAGCTTGTCAGAACAATAACCATGAAAATATTTATAGAAATGGCACAGGCAAGCTACGTTACGATGGTGGGAAAGTGATTGAACCCAACAAGAAATATTTTATTTTTCTCACAGTCATTGTGCAGATCTTGAATGTCACAAAAATTAGTCAACTTACCTTTACTAATTCTGGATGCATACTATTTTCAAATCCTAATTTATGATTGTCGGACTTTGTTGGGGTTGCACATTCCTCTGCAATAAAAAATAAAACCAATGAAGGAAAAAACTGTTTCTATCAATGCAACAAATTCAATTTCATGTCTATTATTTGATAAAGAAAAAATATACATATTTTACTCACTTTACAAATATAAACTCTTTTTAAAAGAAAGAAATAGTAAAATATACAGACCTTAGAGTATTCTACACCCTTTATACACAAGAAAATTCAATACTTTAATATCAAGAAAAAAAAAAAAAATTTTTAATGTAATCTTATGACAATATTTTGTGTCTGTAATTTTTTGTTCTTCTAGAGTTAGTTCCCTTGCACTAGCAATTTAAACGTTTAAAAAAAATTAAAAAAAAGTAATTTGTTCATAAGCAACTTTAAACAAATTCGATTTAATTTTAAAACAACTCTACTACTGAAATCCGTGTGGCTCAAGAAAGTAAAGAAAAAACAAAATTAAACAAAACAAGTTGCTAAATATAATGCACAGATTTGTTTAGACATCCAACTCTTCAACATTCTTCTGCTGAGTAGTTTCACTTCATTTCACAGGATTTAGTAACTACCATTTTCCCTGCATATATGATCAGCTATGTGGGATTTCATTGTTTCTCCCAGGATTACAGCTTTTTGATGTTCCTTCAGACTTACTTTTAAAGAGCAGCTTGTTTCACCTTTATATTCTGTAGAGAACGAGATAATCAAGTACCCCGGAAAAAAGTTCGTGTTTTTGTGTGCGATCTGCGGGGAGGGATTGCCAAAAAGTAGTCAGCAAAACTCTTATAGCGACTTACCTCGTCAACCCAAGCGACAGCGCCGTCAGCGTGTATTCTGTGACGAAAAGAGAAACAAGTCCGTTGCAGGAGTCGCTATAAGAGTATATTAATATGCAAATTACGGAACATCCTATCCCGGCTGTCGATTTAATGGAAAAAATAGGTTCTGCCAATAAAAAGCAGTTGGTGTTGTCGACTGGGAAGGAAAAATTCGGCAGTTTTGGCTACGGCGTTCGTGAGTTATTTTCCTGACGCGTTACAAGTGATTTTCTTTCTTTGTGTTGTGAAAGCCACAAATTTGCTTTGAGAACGCTTACTCTTCATATTCTTTGCTACAACTGGAATACGCACAGTTCTTGATAATGTTCCCATCTGTGCTAGGCTTGACAGAGATGTTTTACATAAGGTTGAGTGTCTTTTTAATATTGTCCTGATGCTGTATCTTAGGTTAGTTACAATAAAATGGCTTTCTTTTCTGTTTATTAGACCCAAACATAAAAAGTTTAAACAACTATTTGAGCAACTCGAGTACTAATTCTTGCACAAAAAATAAAGCAACCTGAATACTAGTCAAAATCCCAAGTTATTAAAAACAAAAAAATAATTGTATTTATATATTTAAAATCTCACTGGTTAAAACATTCTAATAATAGTAAGTATATAGCAAAATGTGACATTTTTGTTTGCATGAATAAACTAGTCTTTAATAAACTAACATTTTAGCAAGGAATTTTAATCTTGGGTTATAGACAGTGTTCTATGTAAAATTAAACCATATACTTGTTATAATTCTCTGGAACATTATTGGTATTTATATTTTTATTTTTACATATGCTCTGTAAGTTTAGTCAGAAGTTACCCAGTATTAAGTTTATTAAAAATGCATTTACTGCAAGTGTTAATAGCATTTCCTCAAAATGAAAAAAATATATATATATATATATATATATATAAAAAAAAATACTTTTACGAACTTTGTGGGCAGGTTTCTCACAAAAATCCATATGTCCACAAATCCTTTGTTTTTGAGTTATTAAGTTTAAGGTTTATGGTAGACACTGTTAAATGTACAATCCAAGATACAAGCTAAAAACTTTGGAGTGTGGGTTTCTGATACCAAAAGAATATAAACATATGTCCAAAAGACTAAAATTTAGCAAGTGTGTATGTATGAGAGTGGGGGGGGGCGAATGTGAGGGTTAAATGAAAGCTATAGGAGAGGGGGTAACAGACAAGAGAAGAACAGGAAGGCCTAAAAGTGAAGGTGGGGATTAAAATTTAATAGAGAGAAATTCTAAAGAGAAGTTAGAAGACAGTTTAAATGAGTGAGATACAGATAAGTTTGAATTAATTTTCCAATGCATATTTCATTCCCGAAACACTGAACTAAATTAATTTAAAATCTGACACCGGAAATGGGTTTATACATTTGTGGTGACACTATGCACAATAATCTCAACATAAAAATCAGAAGATGAGAAAGAGAGAGAAAAGAAAAGAAAAACAAGAGGAATGACGGTGGGGGGGGGTGCATCTAAAACTGAATGGCATTTATAAAAGAGCCGCTGTACAATCAAGAAAATTTGACAAAAAGTAATATCACCTACAGGTTACAAATTTAATATAAACATATAAAAATAATGAATATTTAATCTAGCAAGGACCTACTATTTCTATGCCCCAAAACACATACATATATACACACATACACAACATATATATATATATATATATATATATAAACAATGCAATTTTTAAAAGATAAACAGGCAAATTGTTGGGAGAATTCTTGAGACCTGGTCTTATACATGGATTCATTCAGATCGATTTCTTTGAATATTTTAATCACATTCTGGCTGCTGTAGATTTCTTCAGATTGCATAACCTTCTGGGAATGTTTAAATTAAATGGTTTATTTGTTCCATGAATACCAAAATAAACCTTCTCATTACAATTCGTTAGGTCTCCTTCCTAAGAAAATTCAGAACTTATTAACAAATATATTCTTCCTTATTTTCTGTCAATCTATCTCTTTCTGCAGAGATTGAACCCATGCCTTATAAAAAAAAAACACAATGAACTTTTAACTGTAAGACATTAATGTCATGTTTTTTTACAGCCTTAAATCAAATAGAAATTCATTCTGAGGATAACATTTTGTAAAGAGTATTTGGAATACTGAAAGGTACATATAATTCATTAAGTTTTATTGAAAGTAGATAATGTTTACTGAGTAACAAAACCAATTTGCTAATATTTATCTGATCATGGGTGATAAACAAAGAAATAAAATAACAGAAGTCTGTATTCATTACATATAAGGTATAATTAAGTTGCAAGAATTTATCAACTGACACAGTCTGTTGGTATCTTATTTTATTGTAATTTTCAAATAAGATGTTATACATTAGGATAAAAATTGTGGATAAACTATCATGTTTTACTCTGTGTCAGTCATTGTGAAGAGCTGGGTGTTGTCAGTTTGGTAGACAAGGTTTTGTTTGGCTACATGCTGGCATTCAAATTAGTCCAAAATGCTGAGTTACACAAGTTGATCACACTGGTAAAGAATATGTCAAATATTTATATGTATCATTATTATTTTATACAAATATTAAATATTAGATCTTGATAGTAAGAAAGATGGTTGAAATTATTGAACAAAAATGCAAAAAAAACATGAACTTCAGACAGTTTATTCACAATTCTAAGTTCAATGAATGACATTTGAAAATTTGGAATATACAATAAAATATATTGAAGACAGACAGAGCAGGACAATTGTGTGTGTGTGTGTGTGTATATATATATATATATATATATATATATATATATATATATTCTAGCTTAAGAGCTGCCCTATCGGAGGGCTTATGATTGGGACTTCATCACAATAGGTACGGAGTAGTAGATGTGATAGGTTACAATAAACTACACAGGAACTCAAAATTGAATGCTGCATTTAAGTACTGCTTACCTTTTAAAAGTTCAACAATAATTCTTTTGCTAACAATTCAAAGACAATTTGATGTATGTAGGTCCTTACTTTCTGTACAAACAACTTTTTTGGTAATTAATTTTGATTATTGCCAAATTTCTTTACAAGTTATAAAAATTGTTATCATACAAAAAAATTTGTCACAAAAAAAGAAAATCAAGTTAAAAAAAAAACAAAAAAAAAGCTACCATTATTTACACCAGAGTTAATTCTCTGCTATGTGCCTGTAAGTGATTTCTAAGGCCAGTTTCACTTTTAGAACCTCTCTGACACATGTGGCAAACAAAGTTTGTCTGAGTTACATATGTTGAAAACTTGTCTGTCCTTGTGTACAGTCATGTGACTTTTGAGTCCCACAACAGACTTACAAACCTTGTCACAAAACATGCACAAGTAAACTGCATGTCTTTCTGGTTGGGTTACACCTGACCTCTCTGGTGTGATCTCACGTGACTGTCTAAACCAGCCAGAGAGAGGGTTGACTTTTCCACAAATACTGCAAGTGTGTTGGTGTCTTAATAGCTATGGGGTGGATTCTATTTCACCGTTCCTAATGATGGCCTTTTTTTGTTAGAATGCACAATTCTCTTCTGCTCAAAATATACACACACAACTTTTATTCAAAAGATAATAAAGAAAGAACATTATTATGATTTTCAAAAATCCATTTGCAAAGACAAAGAATATTGCAATTTCCATTGCCACTACTTTACAGACAGAAAGATTTGCTGTTAGGAGAATAAATTCAATACGGATTGAAAAACATTGGTGAGTCAACTCTGTCAGCTGTGATATTTAAGAAGCTTAGTTTAGCAAAAGGCCAAAATGGTGAGGGGGACATAAATTCGGATAGGAAAATTGTGCCGTGCCAATCTCCTTAATAGGAAAAGTCTGTCTGGAAAATCAGTATTCAAAAATGTATCACTATATAACCGACCAAGCAGGCAAAGAACACTTTCATGACAGTAATCATTACTTAGCTTGTTAACCATTACACTGAGAGCCACCCCCCCAGCTCTCTCAACCATAATGATTGCAAGTAGTTTTTTCTTAGTTTTGAAAATAAAAATGAATCTTTGTCTGTGGATAATTACAGCAGTCTAATCTTTCTGTAATAAAAATACAACAAAATATTTGTCAAGTTTTCAATCACAGTATGACGAGATATTGTATAACTGAGGCGGGTCTGTTTTTAAAACACTTCTTTTATGACATTCAGGTTTCTCACAAAGTGCTAATTTCAATTGAATCCAGGAAAAAAAGAATCTGACTGGAAACTATTGTGTGCCTTAAATTTTTTCAATTCACATGACAATGTTATTGTTCCTTTTCGATTAAGTTAAAGATTAACATTCTCATCTGCTTTTCACATAAACCACTCTCCCAATTTAGAGTTTATAGAAAACATCAACAACAGTTAACAAACAATACTTTAGAGACAATTAAAAATATCCCACTGTATATTTTTGTCTGTTTTATATATATTTCAAAAGAAGAGAGAGAGAGAACGAGAACAAGAGAGAACAAAACAGGGAGAGAGAGAAAGGAAAACAGGGGAGAGAGAGAGAGAGAGAGGAAAACAGGCGGGGAGAGAGAGAGAAAAACAGGCGGGGAGAGAGAGAGAGAAAACAGGGAGAGAGAGAGGAAAAGGCGGGGGAGAGAGAGAGAGAAAAACAGGCGGGGGGAGAGAGAGAGAGAAAAAACAGGGGGGAGAGAGAGAGAGAGAGGAAAAAACAGGCGGGGGAGAGAGAGAAGAGGAAAACAGGGGAGAGAGAAAGAGAAAACAGGAAAACAAAAGGAAAACAGGGAGAGAGAGAAAAAGAGGAAAAACACGGGAGAGAAAACAGGGGGGAGAGAGAGAGAGAAAAACGGGGAGAGAGAGAGAGAAAGAGGGGGAGAAAAGAGAGGAAAACGGAAAGAGAGAGAGAGAGAAAGAGGAAAACACGGGGGAGAGAGAGAGAGAGAAAACAGGCGGGGGAAAGAGGAAAAACAGGGGGGAGAGAGAGAGAGAAAGAGGGAAACAGGGGGGGGAGAGAGAGAGAGAAAGAGAGAGAAAACAGGGGAGAGAGAGAGAGAGGAAAGGGGAGAGAGAGAGAGAGAGAAAGAGAGAGAAAGAGGAAAACAGGGAGAGAGAGAGAGAGAGGGAGAGAGAGGAAAAAAGGGGGGAGAGAGAGAGAGAGAGGGGAGAGAGAAAGAGGGAAAATAGGGGGAGAGAGAGAGAAAGAGAAAAGAGGAAAACAGGGGGGAGAGAGAGAGAGAGAAAGAGGGGAAACAAAATGGGGAGAGAGAGAAAGAGGAAAACAGGGGAGAGAGAGAGAAAGAGAGAAAAACTGGGAGAGAGAGAGAGAAAAAACGAGAAAGAGAGAGAGGAAAATGGGGGAGGGGAGAGAGAGAGAAAGAGGAAAGAGAGGGAGAGGGAGAGAGAGAAGAGAGGAAACAGGGGGAGAGAGAGAGAGAGGAAAATAGGGAGAGAGAGAGAGAAAGAGGGGGAAAGAGGGGAGAGAGAGAGAGAAAGAGAGGAAAACAGGGGGAGAGAGAGAGAGAAAAAGAGGAAAGAGAGGGGAGAGAGAGAGAGAAAAACAGGGAGAGAGAGAGAAAGAGGAAAATAGGGAGAGAGAGAAAGAAAATAGGGAGAGAGAGAGAGAGAGGAAAAGGGGGAGAGAGAGAAAGAGGAAAACAGGGGAGAGAGAGAAAGAAAATAGGGAGAGAGAGAAAAACAGGGGAGAGAGAGAGAGGAAAAGAGGGGAGAGAAAGGAAAATTAGAGAGAGAGAAAGAGGGGGGGAAGAGGGGGAAAACAGGGAGAGAGAGAGGAAAACAGGGGGAAATAGAGGGAAATTCAGGAGGGAGAGAGAGAGAGGAAAAGGGGGAGAGAGAGAGAGAGGAAAAGAGGGGAGGAGAGAGAGGGGAGAGAGAGAGAGAGGAGAAAAAAGGGAGAGAGAGAGAGGGGAAAGAGGAAAAAAAGGGGAGAGAGAGAGGGAGAGAAGAGAGAAAAACAGGGGAGAGAGAGAGAAAAGGGGAGAGGAAAAATAGGGGAGAGGAAAAAGAGAGAAAGAGGAAAACAGGGGAGAGAGAGAAAAGGGGAGAGAGAGGAAAACAGGAGAGAGAGAGAGAAAACAGGGGGAGAGAGAGAAAACAGAGAGAAAAACAGGGGAGAGAGAGAGAGGGGAAGAGAGAGGAAAACAGGGAGAGAGAGAGGGGAGAGAGAGGGAAAACAGGGGAGAGAGAGAGAGGAAAACAGGGGAGAGAGAGGAAAAAAGGGGAGAGAGAGAAAACAGAAAGAGGAAAATAGGGGGAGAGAGAGAAAGGGGAGAGAGAGAGGAAAACAGGGGAGAGAGAGAGAGAGAAAGAGGGGGGAAAGAGAGGAGAGAAGAGAGGAAACAGGGAGAGAGAGAGGAAAACAGGGGAGAGAGAGAGGAAAACAGGGGAGAGAGAGAGGAAAACAGGGGAGAGAGAAAAACAGGGGAGAGAGAGAGAAAACAGGGGAGAGAGAGAAAAACAGGGGAGAGAGAGAAACAGGGGAAGAGAGAGGAAAACAGGGGAGAGAGAGAAAACAGGGAAGAGAGGAAAAACAGGGAGAGAGAGAGAGGAAAAAGAGGGAGAGAGAGAGAAAGAGGAAAATAGGGAGAGAGAGAGAAAGAGGAAAATAGGGGAGAGAGAGAGAAAAGAGAGAGAAAAAAAAAAGGGGAGAGAGAGAGAGAGAAAGAGGAAAACAGGGGAGAGAGAGAGAGAAAGAGGAAAACAGGGGAGAGAGAGAGAGAAAGAGGAAAACAGGGGAGAGAGAGAGAGAAAGAGGAAAACAGGGGAGAGAGAGAGAGAAAGAGGAAAACAGGGGAGAGAGAGAGAAAAGAGGAAAACAGGGAGAGAGAGAGAGGGAAAACAGAGAGAGAGAAAGAGGAAAACAGGGGAGAGAGAGAGAAAGAGGAAAACAGGGGAGAGAGAGAGAGAAAGAGGAAAACAGGGGAGAGAGAGAGAGAAAGAGGAAAACAGGGGAGAGAGAGAGAGAGAGGAAACAGGGGGAGAGAGAGAGAAAGAGGAAAACACGGGAGAGAGAGAGAGAGAAAGAGGAAAACAGGGGAGAGAGAAGAGAGGGAGAGAGAGAGAGAAAGAGGAAAACAGGGAGAGAGAGAAAAGAGGAAACCGAAAGGAGGAAAAAAAAAAAAACAAAAGAAAGATCATTTTCCCCAGCCGGTGGCAGTTTGAATTTCTTTGTTGATCACCCACTTTCACACATTCTTCATATGTGCATAAATGCAGCTGACAGGCTCTACACAAGGCAAAATCTAAGTTACTCACAACTGCAACATTTCTCCTGAATTCACTGCTGTTGTAACAATATTTCAAAATTATATAGAAACTACAAGTTGAATGTTAATCATAAGAGTTAAGCAACCACGTCCCTGGTTATTACTCTAGTGAGATGATAACAGGTACAACAATTTTATAGCAAAGTCTTCCCATTGCTACATCCAGAATCAAATTCACTCTCATTTGCTGTGTTTTCCAATTTTAAGAAGTTTCAGTCATATAGCCTCTTTTTTTTTTTTTTTTTTTACCGAAGAACAGCTAATATGCTGATGAATTCTTGACCACTATGATCTTAACCTCTTTAAGTCAGGGGTCAGTTATTATCTATCCTCTTTCTTCTTAACAATTTTCACTTCCAACTACATCCTTTTACATTCATATCACACACCTTATTCAGTAAGTTTCTACCTTGAGTAGCTCTCAGGCCTTGTATTGAGTGAACTTAAAAAAAAAAAAAACTTTATCCATCCACTAAAAACAATTATTCACTGAAGCACATGAAAGAAGTGTTTGTTTCAGCATTTATGCTGATGACAACTATTTACTCTGGTTTTAATAGTAAACATGACAAATCAGACAAAGTAAACTGGCAACTGCTCTCAAAAATGACCTCCAATCAGTTAACTGGGGCAAGAAAGGACTTCTAAATTTTAATCCCTCCAACCTGAAACTGATATCCTTTAATCATTATAGAGAACCATTTTTGCCCTCCATCAGCATGGCTGATGCTAACCTCCAGGATAGCAACTCACATTTTCTACTGGCATGAAAGGGAGTGATTGAATCAATTGCTAGGTCTGCTGTTAAGAACGCTGACTCACAGTGTCATGCCAAACAATTTTTATCATCAGTATACATCTTGCACATTTGTAAATCTATCACTTGTCCATGTATTAAATATTGTTGCCATAGCTTAGCTGGTCTAGTTCTTCTCTCTCTCTATATATATATATATATATATATATTGAGCTCAAAAAGTTACTCAGGGTTTTTTTTTGGGTTTTTTTCAGGACCTGCATCTGTGCATTTTTTTGTTGGCAGAAGTCCATGTTTGTAGTAGATTTTTGATTAGCAAATCAAAAAAATTGAGGGTTTTCAAAACTATATTTTCTATATTTATATGTATATATATATATATATATATATATATATATATATATATAGATAGATATAGAGAGAGAGAGATTCTTCTTGACAAAATCCAAAGAATGCTCTGCAATGTTATCAGTTCTGACCTGGCATTTCGACTTGTCATTTTTCATTCCCGTGATGTAGCTTCCCTCTGTCTTTTCTATAAATATTTTCACGGCAGTTGTTCTAATGAACTTTCCTCATTGGTACCTTAACCTCATGAATTTAAACACACTACTAGATTTGTTACCAGTTTGCATCATTTTACTGTTGAAAATAGGTAGATCTAGTCCATGTTCAATTTTAATAGTTTCTTTTCTTGCAGTTCTCACCTTTGGAATTCTCGTCCATGTTACTTGTTTGCCTACCAGCTACAGACTTCAAAAGTTTAAATACAATGTCAATTGCTATATACTGCCTTCGTGAATCCTGTTCTTTTATTGTCCTTTTTCTCACTAAATTTTTCTCATTCTCTTCCACTCCCAATAACCCCTTCGTATTTTAGTAGCTTTACTTGCTGTGAAATTATTTAAAAAAAAAAAATCTATGAAAGGAAAAGTGTGTGGAAAATGATGGCAACAAAAGAAATACAGATAAACTTGTTATCTTGAGTTTCATTACTCCTTTACCCCTTTGATACATTAGTGGGTGAAGCTTTTTTTTCTTTGGGCACATGATTTGTGATTCAAGTATTTTTTAGGTCAGTTTTAATATTTAACTTTAGCCATTTGAATGGATTCTGAATTTGGAAAAAGAGTCTTTTCTGACAAAAAAAATCTAAATACTTTGAAACAGAGAAAATTGGTTTTATCAAGAAATCTGCCTTTAAGTAAAAGGTTAACTGTGAAATAATTTGATAACAATACTAATGATAAAAAACAACTCTGAAGCAAACTAATTTAAGTCATGTCCTTTAACATATCTAAAGCAAATTGTTAATTTGTCACGCCTGCATAGATGAAAATATAATGAGTGGTTCAGCAAAAAGGGTTTTTTTTACACACCATCTTCCTTCTATTTTTTAATCATTTCATCCCAAGCAAGGAGTGAAAGCCACTAAGATGATGCAAGAAGGACTTCACTGGACCAAAGTAATGTTTTTGGTTAATGGAATTATATTATATATATATATATATATATTTAAAAGAAAAACAGACCACTTTAAGGTACCATTATAATAATTTATTTCACCAGAGTCCTTTTAAAAGGACGCCGGATCATCAGATAGCACTTCCAACAATGAAATGAAACGAATTCGTAAAGGACTCTGGTGAAATAAATTATTATAATGGTACAATAAATAAATTATTATAATGGTACCTTAAAGTGGTCTGTTTTCTTTTAAATATTAGCTCTGGATTTACATTGAGCTCTCAGGATTTCATCCTCCTTGGGATTACCCATACGGATTACCAAGTTCTTCATAACTTAAATATATATATATATATATATATATATATATATATATATATATATATATATGTGTGTGTGTGTGTGTGTGTGTAGGAAGGATGGAGAGATATAAAAACATAAGTGTTGACTATAATAATGACCCAATAACCAATAGGAAGTAGTGAAGATTTTGGAACACTGAAATTTTAACTCTTCAGCATTTTCTTTTGCATAATTATAACCATTTCTTGCATTTTATATTTACCCCAACCTTTCTACACATGTGATTCCATCAACAAAAATCATTTACTTTAATTCAATAAATGAAGTCGTCCTAGAGGATGAAACACGTTGCAGAATTTTACCCACTTTGTCATTCATTTGCCTAATGTGTGTGTGTGTATATATATATATATATATATATATATATATATATATATATATAAAGAAATATAATTTTAAGGTATGCTATATTTAAGTGCTCAATATCAGAGATAGAGCTTATGTAAATATAAAAGTGAACACTGACGATTGTGTCCGGCATGAAACAGCCCTCCACCTCTGAGAGTTGAGTTGACTTGACTTCAATGTTCACTTTTTATATATATATATATATATATATAGGTTAGTTAGTAAAACAAGGAATATTGAAAGGGTACCAATATAATCAGGATGATAAACATTTATTAAATAATTATTAATCATATGACAGAAATGAAGTATAGAAAGAAAGATTTTAAGTTTGGAATTTTGGGACATGCTTGTGTCCTTCATCCATGGATCAAGAAATAAATAGAGAAATGGGAATTACTCACTGACAGATGTTTTTGTAGACAGTGTATTTTCTGGTGGAAATCATTATAAAGCAAAAACCCATATTTGTCTGATTCCTCAATATGTTCTTTGAATATTTACATCATATAATAAAATAATTATCTTAATCAATCCAAAAGTGGAAACCTTCAGTTTGAGAGGATGTTTAAATCATAACTTCTATCTACTCCCTAATTGTGTATATTTTTTTACATTATTATTTTTTTTTTAAATGTCAGTCCTGATTTTATCGAATGGTCTTGACAAATTAATAAAACTGAAAATTTTCAAATGGTTTCTTCATTTATTAAATGGAACAACATTTAAAGAGTGCAGAAATTAACACATGTTCACATTTGGTATCTATCATATTGCATGGTTAATTAATTTGGGAGTACTATTTTCTTTTATTCAAAACATTAGCCACTTTAAATCACACCCAATGGTATCAACATATACATTACACATGTACACCAGCCATTTAGCAGACTACAGACCCAGGCTTTGAACTCACACCCAGCATTAAATCATGTGCCAACACCCCCAGTTTTTGATTCATTTAGCAACAGATCTTTTTTTTTTTTTTTTAAGTGTTTTTCTTTGTTATTGTGATAAATGCATGCATGAAATAATTAAAGTTACTTATAAAATAAATTTAAAAAGAATAATACGAAAATTTAAAAAATGCAAGAGTTGAAAATGTTAAAATTAAGAAATTCAATCAGTTATGAGGGCAATCACTGCAGAGCTGAAGTTAAACTGATACCTGAAATAAAATAATTTTATTTTTTGAGACAATCTAACAAGTAGTGAAAGTAGGCTGTAGAAGTGATGTTACATTACGAGACCCCCTATACCTTAAGAAAAGGATGTATGCTACAACAATACTAGCAGTGGTATGTGTTTGGGCAAGACAGCCTGATAAAAGCCATCACTTTTTCAGGCTGATTTTAAATTCAAAATTTTCCTTCTCCTAGACTGGTTGTCCTCTTGAGGCAAGAGACACTAGCATGCCTTGCTATCACATATCAGGAGGAAAGAAAATTCATGTCTTCCCCACAGGTATTAGTGTGAAGTAAACAAAACAAAACTGAGTGGGAATTGAACTTATGCCAAATTCACATTCTGCACTGATAAATGTTACCCTATCCATCTGTCTGAGGTTTTATTTTATTTTATTACTTGAATGGCTCTTGGGTCGTCTATTGATTTGTATAAATCAATAGAAGGCCCAAGAGCCATTCAAGGTAGAGGATTACTGAATGAGGTTATTTTTTGGATGTGAGGAGGAGGAGGGAAGAAGAGCAAATTATGAAGCTATGTAGGAAAAATGACAGTTGACTCTAGACTTGAAGAGTCATCAGGGAAGCATCCTCTTGGGAGTCTTTTCCATAAAGCAAAAGCTTTCAGGAAGAAGCTATTCAAATGAAACTTCCTTTTTACTAATAGAATATGAAGGGAATGGGAATGATTTGTCCCAGTCTATGTGGCATGATGAGTTTTACCTGTGAAGGTAAAAAGTAATACAGATTCAAAAAAAAAAAAAAAAAAAAAAAAAAAAAAAAAAGTAAAATGACAATGCTAACAGACATTTCAAGTGGCACAAAAAGCTACCACAAAGGAAAGTTGGCTTTCTGTGTCATGCCAAAATATTTTTCTTGTCCAAGGCCTTCCTTCAAATCTATAAATCAACCATCCGTCCTTGAATGGAATATTGCTGTCATATATGGTCTGGTGCTTCTGCTGTACGTCTTAAGGTCCTCGACAAAATGCAGAGATGAATATGCAATATGATAGGTCCTGATCTGACATCTAGTCTACAATTGCTAGACCACAGATGTGCTGTGGCTTCCCTCTGTCTCTTCTACAAATATTTTCACAGCAACTGTTCTGACAAGCTACTTTAGCTGGTTCCTGGACATCATGAATTTAAATGAGCTACCAGGCTGGCATCTGTCCCACCCTTTCACTGTCAAAACTGTTAAATGTAATCATCTCTTCTTTTCAAACAGCTTCTTGTCCCGCACTTCCCATCTGTGGAACTCCCTTCTCTTTACTTGCTTCTCTGATGGCTATAATATTAAAATATTCAAGTGTAATGTCAATTGACATCTGACACCCTGAGCTTGTTCCCCGCCCTTCTCTGTATTGTTTCCTCAAACATGCCTCTTTACTCTTGTTCTCAATGCTCTTTAACCCATTGTATGCTAGTGGCATTCCTGCCTCCTTGCTTGGGGTAAATTGCCTTAAAAAAAAAAAAAAAAAAAAAAAAAAAAAAAGAAAAATTTGACTTCACATTCTGAATCTTTCAAATTTATTCAATTAATTTGTAAATACACTAAACTTCATGCAACCAAGCTGATATGACGACATCTGCTTTCTGACATACACCGGGTTTTTTTTTTTTTTTTATTACTAAAAATGAACAAAGGCAGAGGCAAATATTTCTTGTGTAAATCATGAAAAGAAAGAAAAATGAAAATAGAAATAAAAGTATGAAAATAGTAGTGACCAACATTAAAGAATCATTCCCCTCCCCTAGGCCCAGAAGAGAAGGGTATTCCTGACACACCCTGAGTCAGTGTTTACAAAATGACTCACCATCAATGCTTGACCTTTCCACTGATGCTTGGGAGCTGGTTTCATTGGCGTTTATCACAGCTCTGAAAGCGGACATCCATTCTTCAAGTTCAGTTTCATTTTCGGCAGCTAATAAGTATGAACGCCGATCTTGCATTTGCAACTCAAACCAATGTTTGCCTTTTTTTGAATGCTAAGAAAAGAAAAATAAAAAATAAATAATCATCCCATCATTTCTTTAAAAAAACAAAGTCAATTTTATTCCAAGTCACACACACATATTGAGCGATGGTTAAATTGTTGCCATTTTATATATATTTTTAATTTCTCTTGTGTGTTGTTTTTTTGAATTTTGTCAATTGCACAGTATAGTAAAGTCAGTTGGGCACCGTCTGTGAGAAAAAGAGCACCATGACGCAATTCACTCTGCAAGAAGTTTTGAAACGGCATGCTGTACTGCTTGGCTCCAATCCGAATATTTCAGAGTGTTTGGGTGTCAATCTGAGGAAAGTGCAGAGGATTTGTGAAGAGTTGAAGGAGTCTAAGGATGTTTGGAGTGATCACTAGTGGTGTTGTGCCTCCATTTATCTTTCCACAGTGTCTCAGATTCAACATGGAGGACTACATCAAGTGCCTTGAGGAGGTAATGCTGCACTGAGTCAAGAGTGTGACTGCTGGAAGACCCTATGTCTGGCAATAGGACTCTGCACCATGCCACACAAACAAAAGAACCCAGTTATAGCTATTAGACAATTTCTGCAACCATATCATCCCTTACATCTGGCCACCTAACTCTCCAGACTAACCCCCTTGATTAATATATGTGGGGTGCAGCATTCACCAACTTAAACAAGGAGACCATCCAGAAGAGTTGCAGGAGATTCCAAAGTCGTCTGTAGGCTGTGGTTGAAGCCAATGGTGATTTTATTAAATTTACTCTTTAGTACTTCAAGATATTTTTGTGTAATTTTGGTAAATGTATCTGTTAAAATCAGATGTCAGTGTTATTTACATTTTTGCATCATTTAGACGACAATTTATCCATCGCACCGTGTACATTTAAAAGAAGCATCTAAAAACAAAAAAAAAACTTTTGATAAAATAATTTGTTCAGCAAAAATCAAAATTTTCCCAATTGAAGTTCTGTTAATTGTATTATTAATCCATCTTGCACATTTATAAATCCACTCTTTGTCTGTACAGTGAATACTGCTACCATATCTGGTTTTGGTGCTTCTACTATATATCGAGAGATTCTTGACAAAATTCAAGGAAGGGTCTGTAATATTATCAGTCCTAACCTGGCATCTTGACCTAACTTACTTTCCCATTGCCATTTGTTTTACAAATATTTTCATGGTAATTGTTCTGATGGGCTTTCCTTCCTTGATACCTCGACTGCATGAATTGAAGTATACTACTAGATTGGTAACTTGGTCTCACCATTTTACTGTTGAATGAGCTAGATGCAACAGTGTGTGCTCTATTCTAATAGTTTCTTTTCTTGTACATCTCACCTGTGGAACTCCCTCCTGATATCTTGCTTCCCTGTGACCTAAAATCTTCAAAAATTTAAATGCAATGACAATCAACATCTTTTGTCTTCCTGAATCCTGTTCCTTTATTCTGCCCTTCTCGACACTAATGTCTTCTCATTCTATTTACTCTCAGTAAACCCCTTGCATCTTAGTTGCATTATCACCTTGCTTGGGGTGAAATGATCCCCCCCCCCAAAAAAAAACATTAAAAATAGCTAATTACTCAATGATTATTAATTTTTGACTCCAATTTCTTTCATTTTATTCTTGCCAATTTTCATTGCATTTCTTGAATTGCTTACTTAACTATCGTGCAATAATGGTGCAGATTGAAAATGAATATAAACATTCTTTATTTGATGTTTCCATAACGATGTTTTAGAAAGATGATTTTCAAGAAATAAATATTTATAAAGAAATAATCCATCTATTTGCTTGGATTAGTGTGTGTCCCTTATCTAGTGGTTCCCAGTTCAATCCCTTGAATTGTTTATGTAAAAAAAAAGTTATAAGTTATACTCTGGTTCAATAGAAAAGACAACTGATATGAGAATGAATTAACTAATAGGAGACAATGAACAACAAAATGAGAACCCTCCCCACTGATTAATAAGGGCTTGCTTTTGAAATTTCCAAAAGGACAAGAGACTAAAGAATGCTGGAAATGGACAATGACTGAAACACTGTGACAATAACAACTAAGATGGCACCAATTACAACAAAGTTTGGTACATAAAAAAAAAAAAAAAAAAAAAAAAAAAAAAGAAGTAAAAATAATTAATAACTGACAGATTCATCTAAACTTTTAAAATGACAAATTTTTACATCCAATTCTAGTGTCTACAAAACAACTGATGGAACCAAAATATTTGAACAGAAAGTAATACCTTCACAAAATTGTGAAAAGTCTGTAAATGTAAATAATTTTTGAATAACTAAATGATAACAAAAAGGTTTGTGCCTCAAATATTTCAAGGGGAATCATTTCATATTGTTAAATTTGATGGCATACAATGAGACACTTCTCTACCACACAAAGTGACTCATAGAATTACCTTACATCTCATATGTGAAAAACCTTTTTAAAAAGGTTACATTTGACTTACAAACTTTGACAGATGACATTGAGGTAAATTCTTGTATGTCAAATAAAATTACAGTAACAATTTTTAAAACGTATATCAAATGATTTCATTCATGGGAGGAACAGATACTTTTCTTTAAAATGAATATATATATGTATATATATTTTTAAGCATTTCACCCCAAGCAAGTGGAGGCAGGATAGAATAATGGATAGTGGCTTGGATTGAGGAATCAGAGAACAGAGTTCAAATTCCAGTCTAATCCATTACATTCACTTATGTGCTAATACCCTTGGGAAAGGTATGAATCCTCCTCTTCTCCCAATACCAATGAGTAAATAGCAAGACAGACCAGATTCTATAGCCTTGGATGGCAACTGGTCTACTGCAGAAAGAAATAGCAACCTACTGTGGGAAAAAATCTACCTCGTCAGTCATATATCAAAAGATACATGATTGCCTAAGCACATATCAAGCATGGCACATAACTGACTGACTCCAAGTAAGGTATGAGTGCCACTAGTATACTAGGGGCTACAGAGAGTGTAAGTAAGAGAAAAGACTGGGTATGGGGGGGGGGTTAAGGAAAGGATTAAAAAAATGGAATGGAGGAGGATAAAAAGAACAGGGATAAGGCAACAGAAGATGTTGACTGACATTACATTTAAATTTTTAAAGATTATAGTTATCAGGGGAGTAAGTAAGAGGAAGGAAGTTCCACTGTTAAGAAGTGTGAGAAATGAAACTGAGTAGAATTTAACGGATTTGACAGCAAAAGGGTGGGATTGAGATGTCAACCTAGTAGCATGCTTAAATTCATGTAGACAGGGCAGCGTTGTAAATAGCTCGACAGAGCAGATGCTGTGAAAATATTTATAGAAAAAAGAGAGGGAAGCCACATTACATCAGTGAGAAAAATGACTGGAGTTGAAACTCCAAGTCAGGACCAATCACATTGCATCTTTATTTTTTATATATATATATATATATATATATATATATATATATATATATATATATACACACCAAAATGAAAAGTTTATTGATTGTACCAAGAAACAATGTCAGCAAATGAGTTATCTATTGATTTGCTCATGACGCAATAAAAATTGCAAAAAAGCAAAAATGTTTTTTCTGACTTTCAATGTCCTTTTAATGATAAAGAACGGTTTAAAAGTGGAGCCACTCCTTCAGTGCAAAATATTTATGCTATTGCTTCAGAAATCCTATTTTACAGCTGTATACATTAAGATTGACATGTAAAAGAGGGATGCTATTATTGATGAGATTACAATGATATTTTTCATCGTTTTAACTAGCTTAAGAAATAAATAATTTCAAGATTTTATTTAGAAAAAAATATAAGAATAGGGATAATTGTCCTAAAATATTAATAAATAATAAAACTGCATTCTTTACAAAGGATTTCTAATAATGAAATATAAGCTAATATAACAAGGTTATTACTAGTGAGGGTTTTTGTCATTTTAGTAAGACTTGGTAGTAAAACAAATGAAACACTCCCTTAAACAGTGGTACTCAAGATACCAATACAGTAAATTGAAGTTGTATTCAATATGGCCTCAACTTGACAGTAACCTTACTCAATCTTGTATCGATATCTTTACATGACCTTAATATATGATATTATATATATATATATATATATATATATAAAACAGTAACCTTACTCAATCTTGTATCGATGCTTTACATGACAATAATATGTAAATTGAAATTGATAGAAATTTTATTTTTACTACTTTAAATATGTTAGCCTTGAATAAATGTTGAATCATCTAGGCTGTTTTTTAGTACACGTTCTTTTGAGCAAAAGTGTATTTTTATGAAGGCCTGACGGTTTGTGTAAAAAATTGCTACACTTGTATATCTTTTTGGGCTCAGGGGTTAAAAGCCACCAAATTTGTGAAGGATCCATTTCCAGTTTATGGAAAATTATTTTTTTGTATATACTGACCAATGAGAGACGTGGTCTCAAGCCCTTGTAAGAACCAGAATATGGTCATTGTGAGCTCATTTTACAGAAACAATAGAGTGAACAGGAGACAAGACAATTTGACAGCAAGGGGACAAGACAATTTGACAGCAAGGGGACAAGGTAAATCAACATCAAGGAACAGAAGGCATCAAGAAGGCATAAAGTTATAATCCAACTGCAGAGAAACTGAAGAATTTTGAAATCCAAGTGAAAATTCTCCTTTGGTTGGACAACAAAGAATAAAAAAGAATTCTGAGAAATTTTTCCAAGCACAAATTGTGAATATAAAAAGGGATTTTTCGAAAATTACTATATGTCCCAGACATGCTCATAGGGTAAGTAAGAGTAGGTGTTTTCATTTTTCTCAAAAGCGGTGCACCTTTGTTTTACTAAACTACTTTCTTGAATTGTTTTCTTTTTTCAAAATCTTTGTATTTTCCCAAACTTTTAATTTTTTTTGCATTTTTCAATGATAATCTTTTTATCAGAAATTGTTATCCTGCCTTAATAAGCACATAAAAGGTAATTTTTGTTCAAACTTTGTATTTGTACCTTTTTTTGTAATTGTGTA